ACATGGTAATAGTATGAATAGTCTTTTTTGTTTTTTTTACTTGTGCATCAAATCCCATTTTAACTAGAAGATAAAGTAATCCATTATATACTAATGTCTCTTCATTTCTTGACATCCTTTTTCTTTCTCTTAGTATTTCTTCATATTCAATTTTTTGTTCGGAATTACTCATTTCACACTTTCTTTACTGTTTTATATTAGTTTAAACCCTTCTTTTTATACTGGTCCTTTTTTTTTAATTTTAATTGTCCCTGATTGAACATTATTTCATTCTTTCTCTTTGTATCTTTCATTTGATTGGTTCTTTCTTTTTAGGGGTTAAGTTACTTTAATTTTAAGTTCTTCTTATAATCTTAAATATAAATTGAATAAAGATGCACTTTCTATTTATTTCTTTGTACATTACTTCGTTTTTCTTCTTTTCCATTCATTTTGTTATTTATCAGTTTTTTTAGTTTCGTTATTTTTAGATTATTTTCATAAATTTATCAATCCCGAAGTGTTTCATATTTATTTTGATTGTAAAAATAAAGAGTATCAATCCGTTAGAACTAAGAAATGAAATGTTGTAAGATTTGAAAAATGTTTATATAAAAAATAATTCTTCAAATGACATAAACCCATAAATAATGAGAGATTGTGATTTTTGATAAGACTCTTCACATTTCTTTTTGATATCTCAGATACTGTTACTATAAGCCGATTTGTTAGAAATAAAAATAAATAGAAATAAGTAATGTTAATAGTTTGATAGAAGTTAATTATTGAACATGAATTATTTCCTTAAAATTGATACTCGAAAACGTTATTAAAAGAAGTTTAAGAGCAAGAAAAAAGTTTGGTTTAATGTTAAATTTAATAGAATGATTTTAATTTATTAATAAATAATATAACCAAAAAACCTTCAATTTTCCAGTCACATTAAATAAATAACAAAAGAACAATCGTTTTTGTATTTTTGAGTATTTCATTTTTAAAAGGTGTGATTGTTAAATGAAAAGATCTGAGAAGTATTTTAAATAGTATTAAAAAGATAATTTAACAATTTACTTTTTAAAGACAAAAAATAAATTTCAAAGAGTAAAAGAGAATTTAATTAATTATTTTGAATGAAGTAAAATGAATTGATGATAATAATAACAAAAAGAAAAATAAAATAATTTTTTAAGTATTTTTAATAAAATAAAAAATTTATAAAGACAGTAAATTAAATAATTAATTTATTTTTTTTATTCAGAGTATTATTTTAATGACTAATAAGAAATTCATAACAAATTAATGCTGGTTAGAATAAATAAAATAAATAATGTTGTTATACATAAAATAAAAAATACACCAGATGCCATTGATATTCTTTGAATTCTTTTGTCATTACTATTTCTAAATAAATAACAAACTACAAGATGAAATGGAAAGAATAAAATTCCTATTAACATTAATCGCTTTATTAATGAATATGTTATATCATCTTCAATTATGTCATTATTAGTTATTGTTTCAATTTTAATTGGTGCAACTTGAGAAGCCATATTCATATATTGCTCTGGTGTTAATAAACTACCTTCTTTCTTTGAACTATCAAAATTACTATAATTTGATAATTTTTCATCATTAAGTTGATTAGAATTTTTTAAAGAATTTGTTTGTTTTAATAATTCTGAACCAAATAATTCATTTGTGTTATGGACTGATTGATTTGGTTGTAATGAGAAAGGTTGTTGTAAATTAGTTGTTTGTTCTTTTTTTATTGAGTGTGTTGGAAATGGATTAAATTCATTTGAACTTGGAACGACATAAGTAGAAATTTCATTATTTGTATCAGGCAATGATGGAAATCTATATGTACTATTATTTAATATAGACATATTATATTCTGTTGTACTACTACTTGGAACTTCAAATGGTGGTGGAAGATTATATTCTCTTTGATCTGGTTGATATGAATTTACTTTAAAACTTGGATAAGAAGAATTAACTGGACTAATATTTCCAACAAGGTTTGTAACTTCATTGTTTTCAAGACGTTGTTCGTGTTGATAAATATTCTTCATGAACATTATTTAGGTTTAATTAGTTCAAGTTCAGCTCTTGACTTATATTATCAAATCCTCATTTACCCAAAATTAATTCCTCTTTCTTTTTTGTTTTTATTATTGTTTTTTGTTATTCTACGAATTTTATAAAATTCTCTATTAAATACATCATTATTCGATTTTCATATTTTATGAAATTTCTTCTTGCTATTTAAACTACATTTTTGACAAATAAAACTTATATGGTTCATTTAATGAAATGAATCATCAAAAGAACAACAAAGAAAATATCTAATTATTGTTGTTGGAGTGTATACAAACAATGTGTATATAGAAAAAGAAGATATTATAGACGACACCAGTTATTATCACAACTGAAAACTATTAAATTAAAAAAATAAATTAACATGTAGTATAGTTGAATTTCAAACTTTACCAATGAGAGATTCTTTTCATTAAATTGTTTTCCGAATTGATTATTCTTCAAATGAAGAGAATAAAATAGCAATATTTACTAAAAATAATAAAATTCTATATTAAAACCTTATTAAACAATTAGTTAAAGTAAAATCTGTAGATACAGATAATAGTATTTTACCAACATATAGTTCTGATTTATATCCTTCATAATTTAAAACATGGGAGCATTATATATGTAAAACTTTTTTAATATTTTGAAATAATAATAAAACACTGCACGAATATTGGAGGTTTTGATGAGTGAAAATAAAGTGGATAGAATTTATAAAGAAATCAAAAGCTATTCCTATAATTCCATATGGTATTTTACCAGATAATATCACAACAATAAGTACATTAGATACAACAATATGAGTTATTAATACAACAACTACTAAAATTTATGAACGAATTGGCTATACCAATGATAGTATTGGACTAACATATAAACAATGGGTACGAAAATTAGCAAAGAAAAAATGCATCTAAATAATTTACAAAAAAGAAAAAAGATGCAAAATAATTTGCATCCATAGAATTTTCCATTTATTATATTTTGCTCCTAAATAAAAATAAAAAGTATACAGAATATATAAATATTTATGTTTATATTTTATAATCATTTGTATTCTGTATGAAATATTAATGAAATAGATTATTTGATGAATCATATTTATTTGTATTCTTTTTATTCTTTTATTTATATGTTATTTATGCATCTTATTTTTATATATTTATCTCTTCTTTTTATTTCTCTAATTATA